TCTCAACCTTTTTAGTGTCTTGACCCCCAAAATAGGTATAGAATATGGTTAATCACTTCGTGACCTCTTTCCCCAATTATATTAGGTAAAAATTTACTGATTCCCCCCCCCTTATTTCAAAGTAACAACAGTGATACATAGTTATATTTATATCTCTCAATTTCTATTTCATTTGTTTTGTCCATATTTAATTATCTTCCACCATACTGGTTTAAAATTTTAAAACTGAATTGTTAGTGGTAATTTAATTAATCATAAAATGTAAGTTATTTATTTATATATTTTATTTAAATATTAAAATTAAAATTATGTTAAGTAACTGTTGAGATTTATGGATTTTTCATCWAGACTATTGAGATTAAAAAGTATAAAAAACTTTATTAGACTTTTATTTTTCAACATTTCAGCTTCAACTGCTTTAAGGCATTTAAAATATAACAAATGTTCTAATCACTCTGCACTATTAATGTGTTTTTCCAAATAAATTAATAAACTACTTGTAAAGGGTTTACAAATTTTTATTTTATACATACATTAACAGATAAGAAACTTCTCAGAATATTATTTTTAATTTTTATATTACACGTACAGTTTTGTTAACATTTTTATTGATCAATTCTTTTTCCATCTTTTTCTTCTGTTCTTTAAATGCCAAACTGTTAGCTTTTCTTTCTACTCTTCTTTCCTAAATATATAACCAAAATAATATATATTTCTTTAAATAAATATTATTTTTAAGATTAGTAAAGAAACATACCTGTCTAAATTCTTTGAGAGCTTTTTTCCTCTTTAGTTTTTCTTCGGGTGTTTCATCTTTTGGYCTTATTGACAACATAGATAGAGCTGATATTACTGATCTAGATTCAGATTTTGGCGCATCTTTATTGTCTAAGGATTTTAATGCATGTGCTGTAAGCCTTTGTTGTAATATTGGAACACCGGTTTTAGGATTTATTCTTATTCTCTGAATCTAAATTAAAGTCATAAAAATTTAATAATAAATATATATTTATTATTAAAATGTTATCGGTTGAAGAGTAAATATTTCTAACAAAGTGTAATATTTGATAATAAATATGTTTCAAGTGTTTAACATACTGGTGGGTCTTTGATAAGAGCAGGACGATTGTAAATATTAGAATATGTAGAAATAATGCTTTGACAATCCCATTTTTTTACATCTTGGTTTTCAACAGGTAGTTTGTAAGTAGGTTCTTCTTGATCAGAATCGCTGTCAAATATCAAAGCAGCTGTTCTATCAGTAGGTATTTCATCCTAAAATACATAAGAATTAAAAAACTAAAATTTATTTTTAACAAAAAATTTTATATTATTTTACCCTTTTCGAATTTAATTCAAATTCTTCAGTAGCTTTTTTCAACATATCAGATTCCATTGTCAATGTACCTTCAATTTCTTCAGTTTCTAATGCACCAATATCTGCATCATCATATGCAGCAAACATCTAATGACAAAGAACATTAATTTTCAATTTTTTTAGTTATTGTGTTCTTAAAAAAAAATAAAGTTAATACTTGTTCAAATTGTTCATCTATTAATTTTAAATTATCATTTCGTCTAATAATAGAACTGGACATTGAGTAATCTGTAAAACGAGATTTGGTATCTTCATTGTTTAAGCTACCAATATCATCGTATGCTTCACTATCATAACTATCACTTTCTTCATTTATGTCTTCTAGTTCATTGATATCGTCATCTGATCTGAAGACCAATAATCATTGAATAAATGTGTTTAATTTAAATATACCAATAAGATAACTTACCCAGGCTGATTTGCCATGATCACAAAATCATCTTCCAATTCATTATCTGGATCTTCAAAATTAAAATCATCGTCCATTGCAGCAACAATGTCTGGGTCCAAATCCAAACGTAGACCTATAGAATTTTATTTATTTTATAATTAATCTATTAATCATATTCTACTGATTTATTGAAAGTTACCAGATTGAGGAGCGGCTTTATTTAATAAGCCCACTTTTTCTTCAACTTCAGACTCAAATATTGAAGAGGGTAACATAACTTTAGGTTTTTCTTTCTTTATTATAAAATTTAAAAAGAAAAATTTATTTTAATATAAAATTGTATTAGGTATATAAAAAAATTGCTCATACCTTTTCATTATTATGGTTGGCAGGAGCAGGCAATAATATAAAATCATTGGATCGACATTCTTTAAGATGTTGTAAATAATCATAATCATCATCAAAATATATCCCATATTTAGCTTCTTCATCTTTGTTTTTTTTCTAAAAAGAAAAGGAATTAAATTTCATAAAATTGAAAAATACAAAAATATATATAAAGAAGCTTACTCCTTTTGATTGAGTAGGCTGTTGAGGCACCAAAACATTTTGTGGTGCTGTTTCATCAGTAACAAGCGGATCATGCTGACTTCTGTGTACCACATGGAAAGTTACAGAATTTTTCTTTTCAATAAACTTCCTTTTGTTCTTTGGCTGTTAAAATTTAAAAAGTAAAATTAAATAATACTATTAAATTTTTATTATTTAACTTTCTTAACTGAAAATAAATTATTCTACTCAATAAATGACTTAATTTACAATTTTAAGCTGACCATTAACTTCAACAATATTTAACATAATATAAATTTAAATATTTAGGTATAACAAAAATCATTTAAAATATATAAATAATATACTCTTAGTCAGAGGCGGTTTGAGTATACTATTTTTGGTGCACTGCACCACCAATGTTAGGGGGGTGGGT